ACCAGCCGGCTACCATGCAACAAGAAAAATTATGATGTAAAATTATATTATGCTACGAAATGAGGTCGTGGTTGGAGGGGGAGGCCAAAACGGATGGGGAGGGACAACGAAACTCACAGCAGGAATGCCACGGGCATATCAGCAAGTGCATCTAGCCGAACGTGTTCATCGTCTTTTGGACCCTAACCAGGGCGCCTTGCCGATCCAACCGAGAATAGCTCCAAAGTGAGGGCCTTCATTCCTCTGGACCAAGTCATCGCTTGGCCACCCCTCCTCTTCTTCCATCCATATCATTGATGAGCAAACAATGCACGTTGTGGAAGTTGGTGGGCTGGCATGCGCAACACGTGGCACAACCATCGGAGCCTGGTGCGTGAAATGACGGTGCTGAGCGGTTCAGATCCTTTTTCTGTGCCGTAGGCAAGGCGTCAAACACGCTCGTTACTCACGCGGTGTTCCCACCAGATGCGAGGCAAATTGCGAAGGCACCGGTGGTCGAACCTAACTAGCCTCCTTATGTCCGCTGATCTAAGGGAGCAGGTTTCGCAACCGTACAGTAAGGTCGGACGTACCGTTGCATTGTACACTCTACCCTTCAGGGTGGCGAAGACAAGCAAAAGCACTTCGAGCTTTTTGCAATACGGTTCGTGATCCCATCTTCAATCCCAAGGGAGCAGATACAACTTCCCAGGTAGTTTAATCTTTGAACGAGTTCTATCTGCTCCCCACAAAGGGTCAGCGCAGGAGGCGATCCTTGTCAATCTTGGAGGAAAGCCTTGCACTTCGGTGGTGCAAAGCAAAGCCCGAAGCGGATGGCAGCCAGCGTTAATCTGTCCAGTGCAGTTTGGCACGTCTGGGAGCTGTCACAGATGAGGGCAATATCGTCTGCATACTCCAAGTCAAGAAGTCGTTCTTCTGGGAGTAGCTCCAAACCTTTCAAGTCGTGTCCTGTGAACGCGATTTCCATGACTTCGTCAATAGCGAAGTTGAATAGGAAAGGTGACAGCGGGCATCCTTGTCTCACACCGCTGGAGATATTGAAGGGTGGCGACAGCTTGCCGTAAAGCCTCACTTTGCCTTTGCTACGCACGTATAATGCTCGCATAATATTTGCATATTTCTCGGGGACACCTTTCCTGAGTAGAGAATTCCAAAGGGCACATCGATTAACCGAATCGAAGGCATCCTTGATGTCGAGAAACACGACTACTGTGGGCCGCCAATATGTATGACGGTGCTCCAACAACTGACGCAAGCTGATGATGTGGTCGATGCAGCCACGACTACGATGAAACCCGGCTTTCTCCTCACGAATCTGGCTTTCACGAGCGCCAGTCAGTCTGTGAAGGATTACAGAGGCAACTAATTTGGAAGCCAAGGCGGATCAGACTGAGACACACATACAGACGACTGACTATGGTGGTTTTCTTTGAGTTGAATGCCATCTCGACTCTATTGATCGAGACAGCTTGTAGCACTGTCTATACATGAAGAGCGTGCCATCTAAATTCCATTCCATTCTGACGTCCTTCTACTGTGATTCTCGAGGCTGTGTAACGGTCTACAGGAAAGTACCACTTGATTTTCCCACAACAAATAGGGTTCGCCAAGATTGTCCTACATCTCCTTTCCCATTCAACTTTGTGATTACTACTGATTACTGGTTGGAAGCAGCAAGAATTGATATCTCTGTATAGCTGCATCTAATAAAAATCAGGTACGAAGACTCGTTAGTATGGAATGCGCTCCATATATTTTATATCGGCAAAGTGTTTGTCCAGGAATATCTTAAATTCCGACACCGACTTTGCCACAACTACGTGCTGCGGCAGGTTGTTCCATACATTCACCATTCTTCGTTCTAAATGATCAGGAATGACTCGCTTCTTTCAGACTCAGCAGGAGTAGGAGTTCCGACTAACAAACCCTGAATAAGCGAACGACACAGCTCTCCTTGGGTCTGAGGCAATTGCTATGTAAACAGTACTAAATGGACTGATGCGTTGCGCTGCACGCCTCGGCATATGCTTTGCACCTTGAAAGTACAAAGTATTGTTGATGTCACCGAACAGCCACCGGAAGCGGTGAATCAATGCCCTTACCTTGCTACCTATGTCACTTCTGGTGGTCACATGACTGAGGGAATTACTTCGCATATCAGCAAGGCCCGTGTGACTTTCTAGAGATTCAACCAGCTATAAAAATGACGGAATATCAGCCTATCGCTGAAAGGTAGGATGTACAACGCTGTTATTGTATGGATCAGATAACTTGGCCGGTTCGCAACGTGTTTGACCACCTGTGCCTGCGGGTATTGCTCACCTCTAGTGGGAACACCAGGCCAGCAATGCTGAGTTCTGCCAGTTGGTTTTTGACAAGAAGCTTTCTGGTGCCTACATTGGCTAGATGCTCCACATGTCTGTGGATCGATTTTATCGTTGAACACAATGACCCGTTTGGCAAAAACTCGAGGTGGACAGTCCATGAGGTGGCACAAAGATTCGAAGAAATTGACTGAGAGACGTGATAAGGCATGCCGTCTTCATGGTGGGGGGCCTCAAGATGGTCCACACCAGTGGTTGGAGACCCTGTCCGACATAGTGCAGCCGAGCAATCAGCAATGTTCTTGCATTCGATGTCTTGCAGCTAGCTGTTAATTTTCATTCCATCCCGAATAGTTTAACGTAACTTCATCTCGATACCATTTGCTTTAGATACTATTCGCATCCAGCCTTATTGTCTTGCCGTCGTTGTTTACCGTTATTCTTGTGATGTAAACTGGGGAAATTGGATCCACCACCCTTCCGTGCCCGAGTCATAAATGTTCAAGTGAACTGGACTGATCTGAGCCAACACTATACGGTCCGACTACCCTGTCAGTACAGTCTGATACTCAGTAATCCATGGGGTAGGCAGTCTACAAGGGCGGACCGGAGAAAGGAACACATCCCACGTGCACATTTCAAAAAGGAAGCGTGAACAGGGAGCAGTGTCTATGCCTCAAACAGAATGCGAATTCAGCTCTGTTCACATGTGTGACTATGAGCCGCGCGCCAAAGTGCGGCGGACCTGGTTGCGAGTGTAAAACGAGAAAGAAGAACCGAAAAAAGAAAAAGCGGGTAGAAATAATAAGGAACAACAACAAACCAATAAAGAGTCAAATAGCAAGACGCATGGGACCAAATGGAAGAGCGCCACTGTGCCCGAGACCGTGTATAAAATTACAAAATTCTACGGATAGACATGAAGTCGTCAAAACCATGGAAAGCGATGGAAGGCACGAGTATTGTGTAAAATGAGCTGGAGACACCATAGCGCAATTCATGGTTTTGTCAGAGGGCTTGATACTACGTGGTTGCCCAAGCCGAAGTATTAAGGGACCTTACCCCGAACCTTTGGTCTAAGAGTCTACGAGCAAGGTAACGGAGCGCAGTCAAGGAATCGCTCCATTTGGAAGTGGGTACTTGATTGTGTAGCTCATTCGTTTTTCGATTGATCGGTTAGCAAAAAGTGGCCCAATTTTCAAAACAATTAAATTGACCACTTGAATTATCTTGCCTGTTAATGGCTGTTTCGTTCCGTGAAAGTCTACTGACTGAATGTGAGTTCCATGTTTACCTATCCAGTTGGTCGCATCGTCCCTGACAGTTGGGTCAACCACAGGGTCAGTGAGGCTGTAGCTCGTCACTGTAGGGTAAGCGTGCAACGTTGTGACCTGACATCTGCTACTTTATTAGTCAGAAGCAGGTCCAGCACGTATCAATCATTTATTTCATTTGTAGTTCTTTTGAGCGAACTTAGATTCTGACTACCGGAGCTCACTTTGTTTTAACAATGTCCGATCGCATGATGCACGCTCTCAAACACAGTGGCCCGTGGCCCCTTGAACCTTGATATTGACTTCTCTGTTGGTTTACTACTGTTTAGTATTATTTCCACCTGTGCTCTAGGTTTTCCTTCAATGTTTCATGGACACACTATATGGTTGGCAGCATCCGGTTCGAGATTTGCCTGTCGCTGTGGCCTCCACGGAGACAGCCACAGGACGTCTGCGCTTGCAGAGGGTCCATGGGCGGCTTGCGATACACCACCCACACACTCCATATCCAGTGTGAACCCGAAGGAATAAGACCGGGAGGCATGTGGATCGGAGCCACGTTTCATCAACGGAGCAGCAGCATTCATGTCTATCTATGTTGGGAAGCATGTGAACCCGACGTACACAAGGTGTTGCTGGACCGTAGTCCGTTCCACACTGGGTGCATGGAACCACTCTTGACACCTAGCACGGCCATGAGGACCGTGCACCCCGCCCCATAGCAACGATACACTCTTCTAGTGCCAGTATAGACGAGGTGGTGGGTGATAGACAGGTAGGCACCTTGTCAACATTCACATAAAGCGCAGTCACACCGGTGATATCAAACAGCCAACATAGAATTTGAAGGAAAAGAACGACCCAAAATTGACGCAGAATACGCAGCAGAATAACAGCATTGTACAAACCAAGTAAAGCGGAATGACTATTATCCAGCTTAAAGAGTTGTAATTTAAGTGTAAGTTGGCTTAGTCCAACTGCGGTGAAGAAGCATCATGAATGCAACATCACACTCAGCATTTGTGTGTGCGCGTTGAAGAGGAGTTGCTTAACAACCTCGCGAGAGAAATGTACCGCCGGCACACAATCGATAATTCGTCGTCCACGAAGCGCACAAGCTAACCCCCACGGATCCACATGAAGAATTCTTAAGCACACATCCGAATCGATTGTCATTTTTATGCTCCGCAACACTTCTGTTTGCGTCCCACTGTTCTTCTAGATGCAGCACAAAACCTCTCAGGTCATGGTTACTTAGCAATGGTATCATAAATTACAAAGACTTCACACTATTAGGCTACATCACCGTGAGGAAGCGAAATCGTACACATGGAACGCGGCTCGAAGACGGTGGGGTGTGGTTAGACAGTCTAGCGCTGTTTAGGGGGAGCGCTATCCTCACAATGTTAACAATGAGAAATGCAGCAACTCTAAAGAAACGTCCAGACTCAGGAAACCGCAAGAGGTGATAGACTGAAAAAGGGAAGAGAACTAGCGCTGCGCGTTAATACGAATCAGTGAAGATAGGCCTCCAACAGGTTAAGACAGCAATTTCAAAGCTGTGATTATTGAAAGGAATCTCAGGACATTTCGTAACAAGTTCAATAAAATAATTAAAGTGCCGAAAAACAGGGCACATTCCAGTCGACAATGATTGGAGAAAATGTGATACTCACCCGATCCAGACACTCCAGATCACGATAAAGATAACTCTTCAAAACCGCACCACTGCTGGCGTCTATCTGATCCAATGAGATTGGGCTGGTCATTAGTAGCACGTTTGAAACCCGTTCGGACCAGCCAAGTTTGACCGCTGGCACCTTCTACAAAATGTGCAAAAGGAAAGTTAAAATGGATCATCTGTTTATAGTATTGATTGTTTATTTTCGTAGAAAGTAGAAGCCGCGATTAAACTGCACACAATAATCCGCCTCGACGGGGAATCGAACCCCGGACCCACGGATTACCGGTCCGCTGCTCTACCACTGAGTTACCAAGGTTTGACGAGCAAGTATTGTGCTTAGATGCATAATCCTGACGCGTATGCGGGATAGGATATTTCTGCTTGTCAAACAAGCGTTGACGCGATGGAATCGAATGAACAAGAGTTTAGGACTAGAACCTCCAGGTACTACTGTAAAGTAGTACCTGGAATGCGGTGGGTGGATACGCGAAGTCCACCGTTACATCGACGGTCGATGTACCTAGACGACATTGGTGACATGGACCCACAAAACACTCGAACTGCACAATACGGATAGAAATAGAAACACGGTGTCACTGATGACACCGACAACGCAGAAGAGATGGTTTGGAGAAAATAAGCATGGACGTGTGCAACACCGTCGTAAGATACCACATAACTCACCTGCAATAATGAGGTGCAAGGGTAGAGTTGGCCAGATTAGGACATCAGATCAACTAAGAACTCAAGTCGCCCAGGGTATGTACAACGGTTGAGTTCATTGTTTACTGCGGAAAATCCCGTTCTCAGCACCAGATGTACACAGTTCCGTTCTCACAGACACTACTTAATACACACAGTAAATGGGCGCCGATCTTCGACCATTTCTGATTAATACTGCCTGCAGGTGTAATGGGCGTTAAGGTGCCACTTAAAGTTCTACGACAGGTGGTTAACGACTGACCCAAATTAACCACGTAGCTCTAAGATCTATGTGATGTAATTCGGTCTTTGGTTGTCAATCAACTTTTAAATATGCTTTGCAGAAAAATCCATAATACTCTATCCTGTGATACCTTCGTCCCCCTGAATGAACATATCTGCAGCTGATACGACCTCAATGACATTGCGGTTGCTGTCAAATAAACTGGGAATTACAGGAAGAAGGCTAGTAATGGGGATTGGGAGGGGATTAAGAGGAACGGCTGGAAAGGAAAGACGGGAGACGCCGGCAGCAGCATGTTTTCGTTTATCCGCCCTGCTGTATGCAGAAGATAAAACAAATCTTGATAATCTGCGCGACGGCCGGTGCAGGATATGATTGAAACTTGAAGAAGCCGTGGTTGTATATGGGTTGAGACACTGCTAGGGCGCCCCGACTTAGACAAGCAAGTCCTTTTGCTCAAAAGCCTCTCCGTAAGTCAGCGGGGAGGTGGCAATGAGTTATCATTACAGGAATGAACGCCAACCCATTTCAAAACCCCCAACCCCCAACATGCTTTGCCGAAAGTTAGTGCTCGCGAGAAAGAGACGAGCATCTTCACACAGGTGTAGCAACCGCTCACCGTTATCAGTACGGGAGCCTACATCATGTTGGTGGCCCAGATGAAGCTCATCAGATGAAAATTTTCCGACTTGCGCGTTTAGATCATTAGCAAGCACCACATTATCCGTACTTCTTCTGTAATGAAGAAGACCGTTAAGTTGGAGATAGAGATCATCTTCCACCGAATCAGGACTGCAATTTGTGCGAGCGTACGCCGCAATGACAAACAGACACCGTTTGTCCCCGTGTGATTTCGAAGCCTGGAACGAGCAACCCAACCAAACAACGCACATCCAGCTGTTGACTGGAATCCACTCCATAAGGGCAGTTGCAACCCGAGGACTCAAAAGAATGCCGATGCCAGCTTGACCGGCATTTGAAGCTGCGTCATCTCCAGATAGACGCAATGAGAATGTGCCGCCAGTGTCGCAAGTGGAGATCGTAAGTTAAGCACGGAGATCAAACCTTGTAGGCGGGTTTCTGATAAACAGCAAATATCGATCGATAGGGTCTCGAGTGTTCGGGCAAGTGCTGCCTGTTGGTCAACCTGCAGTAAACTGCTCACATTAAGGCATGCTAGTCTTAGCGAGGATCGAGGACTCAATAAAGAAACGGAGGAACTAACGTTGTCCGCTTGGTTGAACATGGACTTGTCGACTGGATTGGAGCGACGCCCTGTGATTGTGTGTGAATTGAAATGAGAAGACAAGCGACTCTTGAAGCAAGGTAGGGAAGGGTCAAGAAATGTGGGATTGAAAACTTGGGCGTTCCGAAGCGAAGATATGTGGTGCACCATGTCGCTGAGTATCATTGTGTACGAAGCATTGTTAATGTCCGTTGGTGTTAGTGTTTCGCAATGTTTATGTACTCATGCGAATGTTAATCTGTCTCTGTATGTCTTCCCAATGCTAACTGAGGTGAACTTTGTGTTGTTTTTAGGGTTTGGCAGAACGATTAAGCATTGATTAGAAAACGAGGAGCAAAGCAATCTACGGCTAAACTGAGCGCTACTAGTCTAGGACCACAACGATCTAATCTGTGCTCGGTTTGAGGCTTTACAGAACATGGTGCCCAACAGATTCCAGCGGAGCCTTTGCTGCAGTTTCTTAACTGATCTACATGATTACAGTTTGTGTGATAAGAAACAAAGGCGTCAGCAGTGTGCAGCACATCGCATCGACGCTTCGCTGACACGTGACCACCAGCAGTCGCGTGTGGGCTGAGTATACCGCGAGGGAGACCGCATCTACGCACATTTGAATCGGTAACTTCCGGATAACAAGGCACGCACGCAATCCTTCCGGGCACCGGCCGAATGTTTGTATGATGCTATGAATGAGGATAGATAGTTTACGACGCGATTCAGTGAGGGCCGTAGAAAGGTATTCTTGACAGTGCAAGAATTTCTACGACAGTCGACTGTTTGATCGTACAATGGTGACTGCGCGGGCGCCTTAAAACTGAGTGGCGACATATAGCATCTGCGGATTGCAATATGTTCCATTTCTTCTCAAAACTAATCCTTGGTGTTGTAAAGTCAGTATGTGCTGAAGCACAGCTACTAATGACGATAGTGAAGATAATGAGAAAGTCACCATCTCAAACTAGTTTAATTTCAAGGTAGTAGTAGGAGGTTTGAATGGTGTAAGCAGAAACGAAGAAAGGCAGAAATGCAGTAGGTCAATAAGCAGTGGGTCAGCTGTACGCCGAAACGGCGCTTCCCTGCCGTGCGAGCAGCAACAGTCGCATGCATGCTGAGTATACCGCGAGCACGCCCACCCCCATGCGGATTCGAACCCGCGCCGTAAGATTACGAAAGAAGCTCGTTACCTCTAGGCTACGGACCGACCCAATAAACAGTACTGACGCTTCATTGCCGCGTTTTTACAACTAGTCGCACGTGGGCTAAGGATAGTGCGACAGTCGCGCAGTCACGTACGCAAGAGAACCCGCGCTCTTGGAGTACAAGGCAAACTGGTGATCCCTAAAGATACGGGCAGGAAGAAACGCAGCAAATTCGAACTTATCCAGACAGCCAATACACACCAGGAAAAGCACCATAAGGCCGACTTCGTTGACTCGGGAATTGTCAGTAGTGCGCGTTCTATTTGACCGCTGTGAGGCTAGAACTAACAACTAAGGTGTCGCTAGCCTGTGATCAAGATAAATGAGTTGCCGAGTACGGGAACGATCGATGTGATGTAGCGCCACCCACTATCTATTGACCTACACATTTCTATCATGAACGAATTGACGGTTTGAGTTTTGTACGTTCCGACTTTTGCGAGGGGGCTACTCCGTCCTCTGCACAGTAATAACGAATGAATAAAGGATAGCTGCTCAAAAGCGGGAAAAATTGCTCAGCAGTGTGAGAGTAGAACGTCTGTGATCGTATTACTCTTGAAGGTGAGTAAAGGCTGATCCGCAATTACGACAATACAGAAATAATGATAACGCAATGGATAAGCATGAGGGCAGGACCTTGAGTTGAAGCACAAGTGAATTATAAAATATGCGAAAGAAGCAATTCAAGACAAACTGCTTACCGGATATTGTGCGATCCGTTCGGAAAAGCGATGACGAAAACGCTGTAAATGGAGAACAAAAGAAGTTTATTCCGCAAGAAAGAATAATTATATATATATATATATATATATATATATATATATATATATATGTAGATTAGTCCAAATGTGGTGGTACGGCAGTGTTTAAATAAATATTTAATTAAAAAATAGATCCAACACAGAAATAATTGAGTTGTTGCGAAGAATAGCTGCAACCGACATGTATGATGACAGATTGTTAGTGCATTGTAAGCGGTAACGTTACGATGAGAAATCCAGGTCGCATGGGAATATCATACGTTCAGTTAACCATCTTATCTGCGCCATCTGCCGATGCTCTTGATACCCATTATTTGTCTACCCTCATATGATTAAGTATGCAATGCTCAATGTTTTGATTTCAAATCATACCTTGGTTATGGAGATTTACTGTTTCATTGTTTTCGCAAGCCATGTCTAAGTGGTTCCATTCCAAACCCAGCTGTGAAGATACCATGGTGCTCAGGTGTCCCATGACATACTCATTTGAGATATTAGATAATCAGATGTTGTGCAAGGTACTTCTTGTAAATATGCTAAAACAGTTTGCGCACTCTCTCAAAAGCCGATGATAGAACAGGGAGTAGCGGAAGTTACTACATGTGTTGGTGATGTGATAGTGTCAAGGGAGCCATCAGGAAATGTATGATATTATCGTCTACTAATGCTTATAGCAAGACAGCATGTACAATACACAGGAACCATGTCATCTGTGCTTTACGATACATTTAGTTGTGCATCAATCCACCTGGTAACCATACTCACGGCATTTGCTTCCGTATTTCCATATCTGTCTCAATCTACTGTTGATACCCACACTTTTGACTAAACTTAAGGCTGCCGTTTAGATTAAATCCAAACGCTAACTAACCACTGACAGTCGTATTGGTTACTTATAATTCTACGTGCGATTTTCTAAAACTAAAAGAATATGGCTGTTATTATTTCATTCAATCCAAACTCATACACGTAGGTAGTGTTATGGTTTATGAGGGCTAATGTTTCTCCATCCAGTTTGTGGTAGTCCATACACAAGTGTGAACGAATGCCCGTTCGCAACACTGCAGTACTGTAACTCGAACCAGGGAACTTTGATATGTCAACTGATATCTCACGTTGAATAACTAAGTGGAAGACATTTAGAAACACTAATAAGCACCAAACTTCAGCCTGACAGACTGATGGCATTTTCACTCGCGTAACACCATTATCTGCTGGCTCGATGTCTAAATGGGACTCGCCTAAAGTATAAATCCCGCTAACATCTGTTCGTGTCTCGATACATTCCCACTTGACAGATGCATCTTATTACATTTCTTATCATGTAACACCATGAATTATTAGGGGTTGCAACATGAGGTCAATGTATCCCATCTCAAGTGTCTCTATACGCCACCTTGTATTGCTGCCGCCTTCAAGTAAACGCAGAGATTCAGACAAGTCATCAAGGTTACTTCCGGAACAGCGGCAATACGTTGTAACATCCGAATCGAAATGCATGGGCATAGGTAGTATTGTAGACACTGATGGATTGGTCGAGATATGCTAGCGGTCAGAACGAATGACCAGGGGGAAATAAATAGTAACACAATGCGGACTGCCTGGTGGTTATACATCCCTGTTGATTCTCGCTCATCTTGGACAAGAGACGATTATGACGGGTTCTGGTTTTACCTTACGACACAGATAGCCTGCAGTGGATATAATCGCATCATTTCCCTGCTAACTTGAAAAATTGCTTACGCCATCTCCGTCATTCATTTTGGTGTCATCCTTATTCTATATACCGCATGTAAGTCGGGCTTGGGTGTAGATGCATTCTAGAATGATTAACTACTGACTTGGTGCAATGTGGTATCCTTATTGCACATGTCTAGAATGGATGAGCCACAGGTAACCTAAGTTTTTTAAGGCTTATTTAACTCGGTTAAATTTCTCGATGACTTCACATGTGTTGCCCATTCCGATATTGCACTCATCATGACCTATGCTATGCTATTATTGCTACCTTCTCAAGCGGAGTCTAGTATGGTTACATACCGAGACAGTGAGCTACGGTATCTTCCTCTTCGTATTATTATTCGGCCGCGATTCACATCACAATGTAAGCTGCATGATATTACTCATCATAATCGTAGCTTGACCAGCTGCTCAATGCTAACTAGCATGACGCTTAGAGAGCCGGTGCATTGCAGAGTAATGATTTAGTCCATCCATAAGCTCATTCGTAATTGACGTGCGCGCGGTGTTTCCGAACGAATTGATACGGATCAATGCTAGGGTGGCAAATTATTGTGTATGTTTCCAGTTCGAGGGATACGTTTGAATCAAAAGGTTATTATCGCTTGGCCGTTTACAGCACGCATAAGATGTCGAATTTGACATTTGGAACACAATGCTCAACGATTGTCCCCCGTGTGACCACATTGTTTATGCATTCGAAGAGAAATTTCCCTGGAAACTCTGTGTCAAGTGAACAATCCCGACAATTAACCGACTAGCGATTATCATGATGTCCCCATTTCGTATTGCACTCCGCAGGCTAGTGATGAGAGTGAGCATAGTTATAGTTATAGTTATAGTTATAGCATAGTTATAGTTCTAGTCATCTCTCAACCACACTGAATTTAACGGGGCTTATGAAAACACAAGTACTAACCGGATGGGAAGCAGACATGCAGAGACACCTACCAGAAGTTGCATTGCACAAGGCCAATCATTTGTATGCATTAAGTAAAAGGCTGAACCTAACGGGAATGGTACGTCAGTGTGTTAGTATATTACATGGGAAATGATTCGGCGAATAGCGACAATGGTTTTATGAGCACCGAATGGTTGCACCCGAAACGTACGATATAGATCGTTAGCAAATAGCTTATGGCCACAGTAGAGTACAGGTCGGTAGGTATAAACGGTTGAGTACTTGGACATTTGCACAATAAATGCGAACATTGTTTGGAAACTCGCATGTTTGACAGTGGGCAGTGGGACTTAGATGATGTCACCTATCAACACCAAATGTGGCGCATCAATCGTTTTTTGAGTAGGTGCACATACCTCGGGCAGCACATGACCGAACCGGTCGGAGACACAGAGAGCCAGAAGTGGACACTGCATCGCATTCGCATGCTGTGTGATCTCCCACATCAGCTACTCAAACCAGACTGTACATGTAGAGGGCAACACCTAAGTGCACACTATTTCACTGTACCGATAGTCTAGTCATCATTCTACCTAACAGTTGCTTCACTACATCTATATCGGGTTCCTTCAAATATGGATGTCCAAGATTTAAGGCTGTCACGTCTAAATGTTGAAGAAAACATCAACAGTCCGTATGGGGTAGTTATTCTCATGCCTGCGAAATTGATTGTAAGCTTGACCTCCAAACGAAACCCATACACGTTTGTCGTACCATTGATGGTGATGTATAATGTTTCACTATCCATTTTGTGACAGCTCACACTTAAGTTTGGATAAACGCATGTGCATATGTTGTATTCGAACTGCCATTGGACCGAATGAATTCGACGAGAATACTCATACCGCTTTTGTACGGTTAAATTAGTGCAGGGAGACGGAACTCAAGCAAACCGCAAATGACATTACCAGAACATGAAGAAGGTGAGTTTATGACAAACTCATGTCCATTTCAGGTGTTGCGAATCCAAAGCAAATTTGATCGATGCGAACTCCATGGATTGATCATAAGGGCGGTTGCTCCGGTGCAGTAGAAGGTACTATTGCAGGCGAAATAGAAGCATGATGCGTACGCTCCCATTCGATTTACTAATCCGGGCCAATATGGCGGCGTATGTGGTACGTTTGCTTGCGTGCTGAGTAATCCTGAACTTCAGAAGCAGATGTCGTTTGAGCTCCCCAGTGTGTCTGCGCTTGATGTGAATGTTGACAAGGTGCCTACCTGTCTATTACACACTACCTCATTCATATTGGCTCCAGGAGACAGTTGGTCGTTGCTGGAGGGGACGGAGTGCACTGTCCTCGTGACGGTTCTAGACTCAAAGAGTGGTTCCATGCAACCTGTGTGGAACGGGCTATGGTCCAGCCACCGCCTCGTGTACGTCTGGCGTGTATGATTTCCCAATTAGGCCGGAACGCTTCCGTTCTGTTTGTTGAAGGAGTGTGGGCCGGCTCTGTTGATGAAACGTGGCTCCCATCCACATGCCTCCCGGTCTTATTCCTTCGGGTTTACACCGGACATGAGGCGTGTGGGTGGAACTGTGGGTGGTGCAGCGCAAGCCACCCATGGCCCCCTTTGTAGGCGCCGGCGTCCTGTGACTGTCCCATGGACGTCACAGTGACAGGCAAATCCGAATACGGACGCCGACATATATACATATATATATACCGTTCCGCGTTACTTTCTCCGAACTACTTCAAAGGGTTATACTTCTTGTGAGACCAGTGAAATTTATTTCCTGAATTTCTGGAGAAAGCAGAAAAACCCTCGTTGATTTTGTGGTCAGCAAGCATTGTGAGACATGCTTAAACCTCCCATTCAAGATTCTAAAAGACCTTTCCCACCTACACACTGCTTTAGCTAGTGCAAAATGTATTTCTTCAACGCGGTCGAAATGTAGAGCTTTGCTTTCCGTACTTCGTAGCGCAACTGCAGTTTGCTTTATCTGTCTCCCTTGTTAGTCGATCCAAGATGCAACAACTGCGAGAACGTTTGCCTGCTTAAAAATATACTGTTCTTGTTCGCGTCAAATGACATCATTTTCTCCTCCGATATTGTTTGTAGTACGTCCGCAGTGTGAGTGTAAATTGCTGTAAACGTTCCCACACGGATGTATAAAGCATCTTGATCTGCACGACTCAATGAATCCACATAGAAGTGCGATGGAGAAGAAACTACTTGAGCGGTATAAGTAGTCGGAAACTTAGAATATTCGGCTACTTGGATACAAATGTTAGTCGAAAAAATGGCAACTTGGAGCCGATTCAGCCAATCAGTGGGGAAGTGCGTGGATCGAGTAACGGTAATGACTTGTCTGAAGATGAACTGTCTTTTAATGAATATATTTGCGAATTGAATAAAAGTTTTGAAGACTTTCCGTCCTCCGGGATAATATGGTGACGTCTGTCCCGCAAAAAGAGCAATACACCATCAGGTGAGGACTCGCTTGGTTTTTGCTGATGCATCTCCCTGAATGATTCGTGGGCAGATGCAACATGACGCAGGTAAATAGTGTGGAGGTATCTGAGAACAGATTGACACAACGATTGTTTGAACAAAATGTGCTCTAGTTTTCTTCAATGATACCATTGGCTACTGCTAATAGACAAGTCATATTCGTGCCAAATAGTCCCGGAACAGAGTATTTAAGATAGCCCCTAGAGAGTTGTCACCGTTTAGCAGCAACGATGGTGAAAGAGCAGTCGGAACAGATGCCAAATTCCTCGTATCGAGGCTCGCCGATTGTGGGAGCCGCTACAGCAAGGCATCGGACAGGTTCACGTGACGCAAACAGCAATTTTGGTATATCGGGCAGATTGAGTTGTTCTTTCAAGTGACCAGTTAAGTACAGCTACAGCCGCAATCACAAAGATCATTATTAAACCGGTGCATCGAGTGAGTTAGAAAAATGCTCTGACATTTACTGAGACTCTAACTTCCTCTGTCTTGCTGAACTTCGACATTCACCGATGCTCCCGGTAAATTCTCACTTAATCAAACGAGGCTTCAGGGAGTTGCGGATGTTTTTAAACTGAACTCCCGACGGAATCAGCATTCGTGCTTTCAATAGATGGTTCGACAATCCAGAAATCCGTCCATCACTCAGATGTTACAAGCTTGCAAGAAAGGTAGCCACGAGTGCTTTATGTGTGGCTTAATGAATACGAATCCCGCTTACATTTGGGCTGTTCAACTTGTTCGTCACTGATAGCCGATGATGCGATTCAAATTGATATCACTGCCTCGAGGCTCAAGAATACGGTTGAATAGCAAACGTCCTCAAAATAAGCGCTTCGTCATAGAAAACAAAGTGAGGGTTGAACTTGCACATAGGAAGTCATAGCAAAAGATGATAATGAGCCAGCTGTAGGCCGTAACTGCGCTCCACTGCCGCGCGATCAGCAACAGCCGCACGCGGGCTGAGTATACCGCGAGGACGCCCAACCCCTACGCGGATTCGAATCGGGGACTTTATGGTTGCAAACCAGCAGCGCAGAGCATTCGACCACCGGCCGACGAACAGCAAACATGTGCCATCTACAGCAGATGTCAATGTAGTTGTGTTCAGAAAAGCCCATAGTTCGGTGACCGACATGTAACCCTATGGGAACACTTGTACCAGACAGCTGCGCCATTGACATGGTTATTGGGATCGGTGAAGAGCAAAAAGCGGACTATATTAACACAGTGATGCGAAATAACTTCGATAGGTCATGCACCGAAGCATTCATGTCACTTGCAATGATCACGATATCCGTACCTTGAGCAATCAGGCCGGTAGAGTGAGAAAGTACGGAGTTCGACTTTTGCTTGCTAACTACAGTGGAGTATCGAAGCTGAATCGTACGTCCACGGGGATCAACTCCGATATTGTCAGTAGTGTAGAGAATTAGTATTGAATAACGAGAGAAACAAACTGCGTGGACTCCGCCTCTAGAATTCGTCTACTAAGCAAAAAGCAATTACTAAACTGTTGTCTTGTGTACGCGTTCTGTATACACAACACAGCAAATTTCTGTGGGTAGATGGTGAAGTGCTCGATGGGAGCAGGTCTGGCTCAGGAGTGTGGCTGCTATCTGAGACCAGTCAACACATAGCTCCGGAAGGCTCAAAATAACCGCAGTTGACAAACGGTGGGTTTAAAATATTTAGACTGGGAGCTACTCTAGTCGAGATATGTGATAAAAACGACTGAGCGATAGGGGCGCGCGATTAAAACGTTAAACCAAAATAAGCTTTGTGAACTCTGATGAGTTCATTTGCAGCATTTACGCCAACACTGTGGACAAATTGGATGATAACAACAACAAACAACATACCAGGGGTGGAAAATACGCACAAATGTTACTGCAACAACCACTCGCGCAATATGTTTGACTTTCACTGAGTTCACAAGCGAACATGACAGATAAAGCAGTATTACGATAAGATGACATGTAGGAGAATAAAGGTTAAATTTCGAACGCGTAGAAGAGAAAAAGAGCGTTTTTGAAAGTGCACTGTGAAGTGGATGAAACCGATCAGTTAGTACCTTAGAAGAAAATTACTGCAGGCATCAAGATGTCAAAAAATGATCAAATCTAGTAAAGAATCCATAGACAAGCAGCTGCAACTAGAAACGATACGCTTGTTACGAGCAACCTCGTACAATGGATTGATGGCATCATCAATGGAACGATTTAATACAGCATTATGATAATGAAAAAGGCATGCATGTAAACAACGAGAGAGAAATCGCTTAGAAGAGATCACGGACATAAGGGGAAAACTATGCGAATATATCAAATTCAAAGGAAAGATAAAGTGAAATATGTTGAACACCACATACCAACAAGTCAGTCAACACGTCCACCCGATGATCCGAAGCAAAAGTGAGTTCATATCGCTTTCGGTTGGGGTCGGAAAGAGTGAGGATAAGGCGATTGGGTTGGAGCTGGCCAGATTTGATCGTTTTATCCGGTCGACAACCATGTATCTCACTGTAAAGCCACTAAAAAATTAAATCAAGATATGAAAAACGGATCATCTGTGTAATTTGCAAGCTATTAGATTCGTGCTAACAATTAGTAAGGTAGGCAAGCGGGAGGACAGCACAGTGAATTTAATATCATCATTCATCATTGTATAGGTTAGCTAAAGGTAGGAAACACCTGGTGTAGTGCAGCAGGTTAATCCAATAATAAGAATTCATCGCATCGAATCTGATTCTAGAAGATATTAGGAGAATATAAAGAATCAAACATGACATTAGGGACCAAAAGAGAGCTCGTTAGAATATCGTAGCAAACGCACCGATATGGTCAAAGAGTGGGATTCAACCGGAATTAGCCAGTTGGTGGATACAGCAAAAAGAAAGCGAGTGTGTTCCGTGCGAGAAGCCATCACTGTAAGCGACAAAATCGTTTGGGGATCGAGTAATTGGTAAAAAGACAGGGTGAAAATCAAAACAAAGCCGAGAGTTAACTACCAGTTGCTTGACTCCAAACGATTTGGTTACTCACAGTACTCAACAACTGGCTCCACACACACAAGTCCCCATTGCATTTTGGTATGTATTAAAATTTTACGTCAGTTAACTCACCGCTTTGTCTTGGTTTGGATATATATATATATATATATATATATATATGAGACGAAATGTAACATATTCAGGGGGTATACATGCACGCAAGCGAGCCGAGACTCACTTGATTGGTGACACGCAGAAGATCCTTGTTGTATGTGGTGATGCCCATCGTTCCAATGCTCAGGAGACGCTTGTAACTGTGGACAAAAATGGCAGTGATAACCTCAATTGACACAATGTTGTGCCTGTCAACGTGGTGGCGGCGCACAAAAAATTGAGTAGCTGATCAACACTAAAGAGCTCTCACTCGAATGACATGCGTACAGAAACTCGTAAGGGACGCAAGCTATGGACAGAACGCCACAAGCACATTAGTAGTTGTGCGGTTGGAGGAAAAACCCAAGTGAAATGAAAGCAATAGATGAGCCCAAATCTACAAAGCTTCCGTTAGAAACCATGTAATGAATATTCACCACAAAAATATTGTGCGAAAATTCATTCTGAAACACCAAATAGTGGCGAAAAGAAAAAGTGTAAGAAGTAAGTAGCAGATCAGTAAGACGTGATGAGTTTTAAGGCTCATACTCGGCAGAAAACAAGTTACAGAGCACGCGTCAACATCTTTGGGATTTCTACTGTGGTAAACTATAAGGTTACACTAATCAACTAGAACACCTGCTTTACCTATGCCCAACATCTATGGGAGTGGATGGGACCGTCCATTGTTGGTGCGGTGTATAACGACCGCATTTGCCGCATCACAGAAAGCAGTAAAATCCCGGATCACTTGCTTTTCAGATGTCTAGAACCACTGATGCAAACTAAGTCAAATGCCTGTGGAATTAGCAAAAATGCTTATCCGGAAGGCATGTCGTGTGGTTCAATACAGAGGCATGAATGCAAAACAAATGTTGCTTGCAATCGTGGTTGATATGCGTTCACATCTGGCTCCGTTCGTATCCACGTGTTCACAACATCCTCAGAGACGTCCGCCGAAACAAACCGTTTGATCAGCACATACAAAGACGTGAGCAGAGTCTATGCTTGTGCTTCAGACCGAGCGGTGGTATTGAATGCTGTCTCTAACGGTAACTGGTACTATAGAAAGGAGCGGTATCAGCGATGGCAGAGGTACCAGCAGTACGATAGTACGTCATACCGACGCTTCTCTCTAGGCAGCAATCAACAGTCATGTGCTGGCTGGGGACACAGGGAGGTTGCCTGCACCTATGCAGATTCGTGCCGGTAGATTGCGAGGCGGAGGCTTTGTCCAATAAACCACAAGTCAACAGCAGAAAAAGCCACGGTACAACTGCACTTGTACTGCCGCATTTATGCAATGCAATCATAGTGAAGCAAGGGAAACAAAACGTGAAAACGAACAAACTAAGCCAACACTCAAGGCAACTTCATCTCTCCCTCCGGTATTCTTCTTCAAGATATGGCCTAAACAAGCAGACCTTTTAGCCCAGACATTCTTAGGTGCTGCCATCGATTTTGCTGTCTAGTCAACCAGTATCAGTGACATCCCTTGCTGTACTCAGCTTACGTAGCTCTCAAACTGACCTTCTTAGAGGAGCCAAGCGAAAATTCGCTTTTCGTGAAACGGCGCAGAACTCCAATATATCTCCACTGGCTCATTCCGAATCCCGCGCTCCACTCTCTCGTTTACTTATATGACCGGTACATAAAAGTTCGCGGCAAAACGTCATTCAACAGCACGGTTTAGGACAGCATCCCTATATTTCTGCTCCAAAATTGTCTACGAGTTCGATTTGAATAATTTCATTAACGCAATAGCCGACATACAAGCGGATTTGCACGAGCTGGAAACTTGGTGCAATAAGTGGAAAGTAGAACTCTCATCCGAGAAGTTCAGCTGTATATGTTATCGGTGAAATATTGCACCAACTTCGTAGATGCTAGAAAGCGAAGCCCTGTCCACGTGTCTCACAATTCGTGATCTTGGGACGCACTACTCGAATTCCTGCAATTTTGCTGAACAAGTAAAGAAGACGGTTACAAAAGCCCGTAAACTAGGAGGGCTAAGAATGAAATCCTTTATTTTGAATGAATCCTAGATCTACCTGTATAAAACCCGCATTCGTGCCCTACTCGAATACTGTTCATTATATATATTCTAACCTGAGAGAAAGTGATAGAACATCAATAAAAAATGTACAGCGCTGCTTTGCGAAGCACCTAATGAGAAACTCGGGTGATCGTACCTACTATGACCGTTGCTGTGAGAGGAACATTGAACCTCTCTGGTTAAGGAGACTAAAACTTCACCCGAACTTCATGTTTGATATAATCCACAAACGCGTCTTCACCTGGGACATTGGGGTTGTACTTCAATCTTCCCTCAAGTATAATAATAATGAACACAGACAGCGCGTTACAGATCGAAAAGGCACGAAATAGCATAAGATCATGTTTCTTTCTTAATCTCTATGCAGTTAGATGGAATAAACTACCGAAGAATCTGAGAACGTGTGACTCAGTGTTTTTCGTACTCTAGTTAACACGGAATTGACACTGAATAAAGTAAAGGATGTGCTCAACATAGACGTGAGTATAGCCACGGTGTATGAGGAAGGGCCGAGCGCCATATAGCATATGACAAAATTCTCTGATTCGAACCCACCTCTACCACATTTTTATTTATAAAACGAGCTTGTTCCGCACTTTTAACTAACTCTCTTTTTGGTCCGCAGGGACCAATGAACAAAGTACAGTGAGTACCGAAACCCGTCGATATCACTCCCTACACACCTCCGCTGCCCTGTATGATGGAACCGCTGAAACATCAACACGTGAACAGTTTTATTAGGATCGGATTGAATGCAAAGCCTTCTTGAGGATGCAATTACAAATGTGATCGGATCAACCCCACGGTTCGTGTCCCGCACTATTGAGACATAAACTATGCATTTATTTTTTGTACTTATGACTGCCTTTCTACACTCCTATAGTAAGGTTAAATATTACTTTTTCTGTCGCGGACGACAGTCCCGGATCAGAGAGTAAGTCTCATTGCACAGCACTATCAATTCTCGTACTTTTCGTACGCTAGCAAATGAGGATGAATCTGAAAATTAATTTCAGAAGGGTCTAGCATATGAATACTTCGGGCAGTCGTCCGGTTCCTTGTACAATTTGGTCGATCGGTCATTCTTGCACAAATATTTTATATCCTTCTTCACTTCACTGTTGACCACGACTGAATCGATCTCCTGAGGTGATAGATTTAAGCTTCTGACGTTAATAAGCATACGCATGAAAGGCGCATTGTCATTGGTTCTCCTGGCGATAAAAAGGTGTTTTACTCAAAATACCAGTTGATGGCACGGGCTAGGTGGCTTGACTGTCCACACTACATACACAGGAAACAACCCTAGAAACAAGTCACATAAGTGAAGGTTTACCTGCTTTAAAGGCCACACCGGCACACGGCCAGATATGGCATGGAAATGCGAGTGAAACCCGCATGGTAGCAGGTCTCCAACAGGTGGTCCCATTTATGGCCGTACTGCTTCACTTAGGTTTTATTTATCTACACTTGTTTTCTTTTAAAACCCCAGAACCATCCAGAAAGATTTAACCGACCAATTAGCCATGTCCGCCAAAAAGCTTGAGGACTGCTTTGGAAAATTTAAAAAATATAACATATTGTGATTTTGCCTTACACCAAAAATCGTAGTATCTAGTTGGACTGTTTCTCGCACCGACGTGAGATATACCTGTGTTTTGTATTCACCACAACTTTATATTGCCAATGCAAGAGTATGATACTACCTGTACACATATGAGCTGCGCCAATTATGGACGCAGCTTCTCACTTAAAGAGAAACATACCCATTATTATTATTATTATTATTATTATTATTATTATTAGTAGTAGTAGTAGTAGTAGTAGTGTAACTACCCTTGCACGTTCGGCCAAAAACTACTCCCGATCTCCATCTTAATCCGTCGTTGTCTCAACAAAACCAAAGGTCGCATTTTCCCAGTCAACAAAAGTAGCATATCTCCAATACCCGCTCTCAATTCTTCTGACAAATACTCGTCATGCGAAACGAAACACCCAGATTTCGCCAGGCAGTTCCCTGCTGATATACGTCATATCTCAGGTACCACCAAACCCGACGCTGACGCGATTTCTAGCGTCAACCTCCCTCGTCAGCCTGTCTATCATCAGTATATAGGTGAGCGAGTGGATAACGCGTCTGTTTTGTACTCCCCAGGTGACTGGTTGGAATTTGTGTACATGCTAGCGACCCTGCCATATCTACTGCGCAGTTGCGTTGTGGTCTCTAACCCTCAGGACCAGTTTGGTGTCGCGCAAGCAAGTGGCAAAGGTCGGAAAAACGTCTCAACCTTTAGCTATATGGTTCATGACCTCCTCTTTCTCAGGCGTTTCTCAAGTAGTTGAATTTCTGAACGACCTCTAGCTAATCCCCAGCAAGAGCCAACCCAGCGGGTGGTCCCTTCCAATCGACCGTAGCATCATTGCATTGGCCCAGACTCAGGAGGATATTCAACACCTCTGTAACCCCCTTCACCACAAGTGAAACCCGTTTTTCTCCCAAGTACCGATGGAACAACCTTTGCGACATGTGGTTCAGGCTGGGTATTACGGGTTTAACCCGTTCCAACAGATAGTTCGGCAGCAGTGTTCAAGGACGTGGCGGGTTTTCGCCTGGCAAGCGTTCTCCCCATAAAAAGTCACATATGTCCGTTTAACAACACTGTGACGTGGCGGATGTGACTCGCCACAAACTAAAATCACTGCCCCGTGGATATCCGGATAATGTTATCCAACACACAGACATCATTCGTTTATTTTCAAATTCCTGATGATATCAAAGTCAACAAGACAACAACACACTTACAGGCACAAGCTACACAGCTACTTACAGAACAATTACATACGTAGATACACATATAAACATACATTCACTGGTATAGAAAACATGTTTTTGTAGATTTTTGACCATGTTTTGTGATGTTAACATGATCATGCCTGTAGAGGCGTGCCTCGCGTTATCGAGAATAAAAACTTTATTTTACTTTACTTGTGACCATGACATACTCCCTCACAACCTGAGATTGGTCACCGGTTGCTTTTAAACAAGCGCAAACAAGGATGTTCGTAAATGTCCTCGTGCTGCCTTCGCTGTCAGCGATCTAAAGC